ACTAACCCTGCTCTTTCTTGCCCCTCAGTGAAGGGGGTCAATTTCTACGGCCCGCACAGCGAGTTTGTTGTGAGCGGCAGTGATTGTGGCCACATCTACCTGTGGGACAAGACCTCTGCACAGATCATCCAGTTCATGGAGGGGGACAAGGGGGGCGTGGTGAGTGACTGGCCCAGCAGAGTGACGTAATGTAGGCAGGACTCCAAGCACTATAAAGGCACATTTGGAAGTGTGTGTATTTGGAGTGGGTGGCTTGGCAGGGGGTGGTTGGGTAGCTTTCTTGACTGTATGTCAGTGGGGTATGATCTCAGAGCTCTTCTTTCCTGCTTCCCCTGTCTTCCACCTCCATCTTTCTCACTCTCCTCTTGTCTCTCTGCGTCTCCCATCTCTCTCCAGGTGAACTGTTTGGAGCCCCACCCTCACCTCCCGGTCCTGGCCACTAGTGGGCTGGACCACGATGTTAAGATTTGGGCACCCACCGCTGAGACCACCACTGGGCTGAAGGGGCTGAAAGAGGTACTGGGCATTACAAGGCAGTCTTGGTCTACACCAGGGGTGTCCCCTCCCGGTCTTGGAGCATCAGTGTGTCTGCAGGTTTTTCCATCCCAGCTCGGTTCTTCGCAGGCTAGTCACTGGTCTGCTGCTTCTCCTTTGAGAGACCTCCGAAGGGCTACAGACACTTTGGCCCTCCAGGACCGGGATTGGACTTCTCTTGGCTGGGAGCGGTTTGAGGGATTCTCATTCTTGCTGGGGTTTATTCCTGTCCCGTCAGTGTATAAATTGAAATCGGTCGGTACGCACAGTGTAAGTATTATCCTTCGTGGCCGAGTGTGATGGCCGGCATGCTCCGTGTCGTGATGCAGGTGATGAAGAAGAACAAGCGGGAGAGGGACGAGGACAGCATCCGGCACGGCGACCAGTACGACACGCAGCTGCTGTGGTTCCTCATGAGACACATGAGGAACAGGCGACCCCAGAGGGTGAGTGTCTCTGTGTCTTGTTCATGACCCAGGCTCGCGTCAACCGCCTTTGTTCCCTTCGACCCTTCTCTTCCGGTTCGCAGCTCAGTGATCACTCTCTCTCTTCCCATATCTGGTTTGCTTGACCGTTTTCTTTCCCCACTGCGCGCTGCGATCTTGGCGTTTCTTGCGTCCCCAAGGAAAAAAACCACTCCGCAACGGTAGCGATGCAAGAGGTTGCGGGAGGGGTTCGGGGCAGATTTAGAAATCACACGATTGCGGACGGCCATCCGGAGAGCCAATTGTTGTTGTTTTGCTTCTCCACACTTGTGTCTCTCTCAGGCCCGACGGGGTGAGGCCGGGGCGGGCGACGGCGATTCGGACGAATCGTGGAGCTCGGCGGACTCCTCTGACGAAGACTCCACGGGTCCCGATCACGTCCAGTGCATGTCCTCCTGAGAGTGACCGACCGCCTGACCGACGCCCCTCTGACCCAGAGACTGACGGACAGGCTGTAGCGCACGCACACACACACACACACACACACGCACCAACTGACCGCCTCGCACCGTCTGACTGACTCGCACACACCACACGCATACGCACACATTTTTCCGTCTCGGTGGCATCTTCCTATCGACTCCTTTTTATTTGCTTCACTCTGCTGAAATGAAACTTGACGTGGGGTGAGAGGAGACAGAGACCCATAGCAAACAGCTTTGGCACTTTAAGATTTAAAAGAGGAGCACCCCGTGGCTCATCAAATCCTTTCTGTTCTTGGGACTCTTTTTTTTTTTCCGGGGTTACTGTCTCGGGGGCGTGGGGGGGGGGCGTTTTTCTAGGATCTGTTCCCTGATTGGTGATGAACTGACTGTCTGATACATTGACTGCATGGTCGACATACTAGAGTGACACCCTGCCTGTGCCTGCTTGTCACACCAGATGGTCTGACCGCCCACACACACACACACAGATGTTTCAGATTCGCCGCCTGACCCAGGACTGCTGACGCGACGCCGGGAGAGGAGCAGAGGAAGGGGGGAGGAAAGGAAGACTGTTTTTTTTCGTGCCCACAACCAGCACCCTTCTCTCTGCCTGTAGCTGCTCGCGCTCACCGTCTCTCGAACTGTCTTTCTCTGCCGCTCTGGTTGTGCTTGGAGGAGTTGCGCGTAAGTGATTGGCGCTCGTCGTAGAAGAGACCTGCCACCCCACCCCCCCCCATACTCGGGCAGCGCTGTCCGTCCGTTCGTTGATTCTGGACCTGGCTGCCTTGCCGCCTTCTTATTTGCTGTTGTTTTTTTTTGAGTCTCAACTTCTTGACCCCTTTTCAGTTTTGCTTCTCAGTCACCCCTTTCCCCGTCTTCTCCGGGGCCTGACTCTCGTTCGAGGGCTGCTTTAGGCCTCTGGCTCTGCAGAGGGGTCCGTCGGCTTGCCTCCTGGGTTTCAACCCCCTGAACGTGCCCTGTGGAACAGGATGCACCACCCCCCCCCACCACCACCACCACCACTCTCCCAGAGACACAATGACTTATTTTCAGGGGAGAGCGACTGTGGCGAGGCCGCCCAGAGACCATGCAGGCTTTGGGGTGCAGGCAAGCGGACCCTCGCTCTGTGCCTGCGCCGTGACGGCCAGAATGGAGCCCGTTGACGGCGTTCGTTTCGAACCTGCGGGCGGTGGTGGGGGGCTTGGCCACAGTGCCGCCTGTGCTGCGCCGGCCTGAAAACAGTGGGGGGCGCTCGGACTTGGCGTGGTGGCAGAGCTCGACCGCTTTGCTGAACCGACGATGCCAGCGTTTATTTTTTTTTTGTGAAGTTGTGGATGAGCTGTACTGCCTTGCTTTCCAAAATTTTACAGATGTGATGACGGCGCTTATTTTGAGGTGACAGGTGAGTGTTGGATGGGTTTCTCGGTTTTCTTTCTTTTTGTTGCCTCAGTTCTTTACGGGAGTGTGATTTTTTTGAATGTCTGGACGAGCCAGTTTCGCTGCAGTATTCTGATGGATCTGACAGTAACTAATGTGTTGAATTTGAATCTAAATATGACCTAGACTGAGTTTCTCTTCAATATTCTGTGGATCCATAATGTTCATCGGACATGACAGTAATTCCTCTCGGTACTTCGCCAATCCGCTGACCTGGGCGGTTTTGATTTCAGGTTAACTTAGAGAGCACAGACCCAGTTCAGAAAGTTGAAGAAATGGAGGATATCGGGGCTGAATTCACCAGCACACACATGGCACCCCTGACTACTGTAAATATTGTCAGTGCCATTGAATTCACTCCCTCCGCGATTGGCCCTGAATTCACCAGCATGCACACTGTGCCCATCTGACTGATGTAGATACTGCTAATATTGCCATCTTTCTCCTCTCACTATCTACTGGACTGACCAGCGCGCCCACATTGCGGCCCCCTAACTATGGCCGATACTGCTAGTTCTATTTGCCCATCTCTCTCTTTTCAGCCCTGAACTCACCAGCACACACACACTGTCACACCTGACTGTACTGTAGATACTACTTAGCGCCCTGCTCTCCCAGTCGTATCCTTGCCCAGTACTGTTTCAGATGGTGGACACTCAGGAACCTTTAAGGAGCACTTGAAGAAACTCAGCCTAGTGCCGTAGCTACTGTTGGAAACTAA